ACCGACCCGCCGGTTCACTCGGCCCGGGGCCCGGCCGGGTCACCCGACACCCGGCCCGAACCGGCACCCGCTTACAGGCGGGCCGGGCCCGGGCCTTTCCGAACCGAGGCCCGGCCGGGCCTAGGCCCGAACCGGCCCGAGTCCAGGCCTAATAGTACGCTTCCTTAGCTATTCCATGTACTCTCCGTCATAAAAATACTTCCTACTTTCCCTTTTTGTCCGTCCCAAAAAAAAACTTTATTTTCCCTTTTTGGCAAATAATTTATGGTCCACAACAATTCTTACATATTTTTCTCTCCTCTGCACAACTCTCCACAATACAATTCTCACTTTCTTAATTTGTGTGTCATTTGCAGGGCCGGCCCAGGGCATGGCTGCCCAGTGCGACCGCACAGGGCCCGGATTTTTGAAGGGCCAAAAAAAATTAGTATTACGCCCCAGCCCAAAATCCCCCTGCGTAAATCTAAATATGCTTGAAGAATGTCCCTTTTAAATAAATTGTAAGTTATTAATGACTATTTTTATCATTACATTTATTCGTAAGTTGTATTTTAAAACAATTTGCTTGTGTTGCAACTTGAAAAACGGGCCAAATTTTATTCTCGCACAGGGTCTCCATTTCTTCGGGACCTGAAATGTTGATGTAGTCTATACATCATATCATATACTACCTTCGTTCCAAATTGATTTGTAAATTTGATTTTTCTTGGTCAAACAGTTTTAATTTATTTTTTTAATTAGGATGCCAATTTTTAATTATATTCTAATTTGGAGTTTGCAACTTTGAAGATATTTTAATGCAGTTTCTGAATATGTAAATTTTAATAATTAAAAATTGAGTTAATTATCGGTAGGAGGATTGACTTTTATTATTAGTTAAGCAAAAATGTTGATTTTGCAAATCATTTTAGGATGGAGAGAGTATAAGAGAGTATGGTTGGTGCTCTGAGCAGTTTTGGAGGAGCAGATGAGATATAGTTTTCTTAAGAAAATAAACTAAATCAATAATGACACATTGAAAAAATCAATAATGCTTCTAAATGATGGCCTTTTTAGATAAATATATATACGTTAGACTAATTTGGTCTATAACGTTGGATTTGTTTTGTGTAATAAGCCATATAAATACTTAAATTTACTTTTAAAGAAATTGGCTTAAATAAAAGTAAAACATGGTTAAACTTATGAAATAGGGGTCTGTGTTTTATGTTTGGAAAATGTTTAGTGTATGAGTTTGTACACAAAAAACTCTATATAAAAGCCAAAAAATCTCATATTCTCCCTACCCTTTTCTCTCCATTCCCTTTTTTTGGATGAAATGTAAATTTTATTAAACCCAAGAAAATAACATATACTCCCTCCGTATCACATATATCTTCCCACTTCCAAAGTGGGTGAGATTAAGAATAGTGAAAGAGGATATAAATTATTGAGGGTATGATGGGAAGATAGTGAAATAATGTGATGGGATGAAGGATAAATCTAAAAAAAGTAGGTGTAATAGTGTATTATTTTTTAAATTATTGAGGGTATGATGGGAAGATTTAGAAATGGGAAGATATAAATGTTACATCCAAAAAAGGAAAGTGGGAAGATATGAATGTTACGGAGGGAGTATATATATATATATATATATATATATATATATATATATATATATATATATATATATATATATATATATATATATATATATATATATATATATATATGCGTGTGTGTGTGTCCAAAAGAAAGAAATGGTGATTGTTATGTTTGTGGTAAACCAGGACACCATGCTAGTGTGTAGAAAAAGGACATTTGTGAAAAACAAAATCCGCCCAAGTCAAGAGCAAACTTGGTTGAAGGTGATGACATTATAAGTGTGGCTGTGTCACAAACCTGGCTGATGGGGGGTGTGAACGAGTGGGTAGTGATAGACAATTTATAAGTCCTCGCAAGTGCACGAGTCACGCTAGTATAGTGCTCAAGTAAGGATCGAATCCACGGGAAAATGCAACTAAATAATTGGAAAACTATTAATAAAAATAAAAGTGAAATTAATCTAACTAAAAAAATGAGTTTTGAGTTTGTTTGATTTAAAACTGAAAATAAAAATTTGAATGAATGGATGCAAGGAATTTAAATGATTAAAAACTAAATGATTAAACAACTAGCAGAAAAATGATTGAGAATTCAGCAAGAGAAAAGATAGTTCGGGATTATGATTATGGCACTCCTTTTTATTATTTGTGATTTAGTTATTCGTGTAAATGTTTACCCAGATTTTCACATGCCTCGTCCTTGTCATGTTTGCAGATTTATTGTTGCATCAATATCATGGACCGGTTCATGGGCGGAGCCAGCAGGGCACTGGGCCGGGCTGAGTCGATACACAGAATATTTTTGAAAATTTTTTTGCCTGGAATTTTTTACACTACAAATACAGACATTTTGTAAATTTGGGCTGGGCCAGGGCCAAGGTTGGCCCTCCCCTATCTCCGCCCCTCGATCGGTTCATGTTAACGTATCTCAAAATATGATGGGATTAAGACTTGCATGTTAGTTCTCGTAGCACGTAATATAAATACTCCCTCCGTCCCGCAATTAACTTCACACTTTGACTTCACACAGATTAAGAAATTAAATTTGACTTTACTGTGGAGTGCACTGTTTTGTACTATTGGACACTGTTTGGATAGTGTTTGGCACTGTTTTGATGTAGAAAATTTGGCAAATGAGAAAATTTTTAAAGTGTGAAGTTAATTTCAAGACTGTCCAAAAAGGAAAGTGAGAAGTTATTTATGGGACGGAGGAGTAATACTCAATAGTTTGCATAGGGGAAACATCATAATTGTACTCCGTACATAATACTCTGTAGTGTAGTACACTCCCTTGGCTATTTCCACATAATAAAGTGGTGGTATCTTTTTTAAACATTGAGCTGGAATAGTGTTGAATTTTGTTCGTACTCAATTGAATAGTTTGCTTCTCTATGCTCAATTATTGACATAGTGAGTGCAACCGATTGATTAAGGAAAACAAAAGGTACCGGTGGGCGTAGCTCAACTGCTGGTAAGAGAGTGCCACAAGGGTTAGTTCTCGGGTTCGAATCCCGGCAACTGCAATGAGGGGTTACTATGCTGAAAAATGCATAGGGCCTCTGCAAGTATCGGGGACAGAGCCCCACTCTCTATCTGTCAAATTGTGATTATAGTCCAATTTACATCCTCCCATCGTGCCGTCAGGTCGGTGTTGGAGGACCCTCAGGGATGGGGTGTCATCCATAGGAAAACAAAAGGTAGATATTACTCCCTCCATAACTTAAAAATTTTCTCACTTTCCTTTTTCGTCCGTAACAAAAAAAACTTCTCATTTCTAAATCTTCTCATCATACCCTCAATAATTCTTAAAATAATACACTATTACAACTTTTTTTTATTTATTTATCCTACATTACATCACATAATTCCACTATTTTCTCATCATACCCTCAATAATTCATATCATCTTTCACTATTCTTAATCTACCTACTTTTGAAATGGGAAGATTTTAACAAAAATACCGGACTAGTGCAAAATTGTGACCAAGTCCGTACCTAGTAGCCTGTTTTTTTGTAGTGACCCAAGGCCAAGTTAGAGTTTTCAACCAAACCCTCGAAGGCTCGAATCTATTTGTATTGGAGCCAGGATTTTACTAGAAGGAGGCCCGGCCAAAACAAAAATGTGTAAATACATAAACATATTTTATTAAAATGGATGGTTAATTTGAAATATTTGAAACCAGGACAACTTAAACAAAACAATGTATCAATAGCTTAAGATATAGGAAACAATAAGAGATACATTTACCCTAAACAGTACTAAATTATAATCAAAATTTCTAAATAGGAGTTAATGTTTAATTTTTCCTAAATAGGACTCCTTACCAATTTACCCCTACTATAATAAAATCCCACCGGCCCATCTACGATCCCCATCTTCCTTTCCGCATCGATCGCAGGTTACTCGGTTACTCCTCTCCCATGGAGATCTTCCGCACACGGCACAACTTACTCCGGCCAGCGCTTCTCCAGGTAATTCCTCCTCCTTATTTTCCTGCTTCTCCTTCTCCTCTTATTCTTATCCTTCTTCTTCCTCTAATTTCTGCAGTTCTGCTCCTCTTTCATTTATTAGTATTTTCTGTTAATTTATTTGAAAATCTTTTTGATTCTAAATGAAAATTTTATTTTTATCTGAAAAGTTTGAGTTCGAAACCTTTAGGAATGAAAATAAGGGGCTCTTGTTCAAAGAATTTCCGACCTAAATTTTGTTATTTTTTATCTTTATCAACTAGTAAAAATTGACACAGTTATGGCATTTTTTTATGGAGATGGACATATTACAACTTCGAAAATGCCATTTTTTGACAATTTCACAAATTATGGCATTTTCTATGGGATTGAATTGAATTCATCAGCAACACTACTTCATTTTTCTTCTCCTATTTCACATTCTGGACTCTAGAATGTAAAAGTGTCATAATTTATAATCAGAAAATTCCATGTTTTGGCATATAGAAATGCCATTTTTTTTTGTCATTAATGTTATCACAATTGCAATTTTCCCTGAAATTGATGTCATACACTCCATAGGAGGTATATGTTAGCATCTCCACAGAGGAATTTACCGGTGGCAGCACCATCTTACCATAGGACGGGTCAAGTCACCTCACCAGAAAAGTGCAGTGGCAATCTCGACAGCGATAGTGGTGGTGTTCTCACTTGGTTGTGGCGGCGGGCTCGACAGCGGCGGCCGTGCACGGAAGGTGCTGAAGGCATATGCCGCTTGGAGTTTATGCTATAGGCATCTGCCGTTTTGAGTTGGAGCGATATACATCGATCGACAAAGAGGGCAGCTGGGGGAAGGGTTTTATTTTTTTATTTGAGCTGCAATTTGATTAAGGGCAATTTTGTCTAATCAGATCATTTTTGGTCCTATAAAATATGAGAGTCCTATTTGTGCATTTCAACATTGATTTAGTTCCATTTAGAGAATTACCTCAAAATCCCACCTTTTTAGTTTCTTCCAACATTAATCCCAAGTATGAATATTTCTAAAATAATCTAATATATACATGACATCTTCTCAAATTAAGCCCATGACCGGAAGGAAAGGATTCATCAGGTCACTCGACATTTGTTTTACTGTGATTGGGCTTCACACATTTTTATTTTTCCATTCTTTTTATTTCTCTTCTCCTCTGCTCAGAAATTTCTTTCGGTCAGACCTATCTGTTCCTTCATTTTTCTTGTATTCTTCCTTCTTCTCTTTCATCAGACCTTCTCTTCTGTCCATTCTTCTTAATTTCTTTTACAACTCTAGTCATCCAGCTAAAGGGACGGATGGGAGAAGAATCAGATGCCCTCCTTCGTCATTATTCCATCGAGTACATGAGGACCTCCATTTGGTTATTCCATTAGAAGCAGAACCCAGATACCCTCCGTCGCCATATTCGCCTACACCAGATGCAGGATGCTCCTTCGTCTCTCTTTTGACAAGAGAGATGACTTGGAGCAGCGAAGGTGCCCACCGCCTCTTCCGCCGCCACCTTACTTTTAGCCGGCGATTGGCCGGAATTGATTCGATCAAGAGGGAGATGAAAGTGCCAGCAACAACTTCCTTTTTCTGTGTGGATTGAACTATTCTTATGGTCAAAGATGAATTGTGAAGAGGAAAATAAACACTTCTTCATGTCTTCTCCATAGATGAAGAGTAAAGATGACGATCCGATGAGGATGGAGTGGATCCAGACGCAGACCAATCTTTTCTCTTTTTCTCTTTTCTGATTTGTTTTTTACCGGTTTATAAAGTTTAGGTGAATTGGATCAATGGTGGAAGACAACATATAAATTTGAGATTATATTAGAATAACATATACTTCCTCCGTTCCTTTTTAATTGCAACAGTCAACATTTCACGTTTGACAACGCTCAAATTTGACCATAAATATCTTTCATTCCTTATTAGTAAAAAAATTAAAAAAATCATATTTTGAAAATTTAGAATAAGAAGAATTTAACAATATTTTTTAAAAATTTAATTTATTATACATCAATTAATAAAATGCAGTCAAAGTAGAACATGTGAATAGTGCAAAAAGTCCAATGTTGCAACTAAAAGAGAACGGAGGTAGTATTTGGGATGAATATTAGAAGATCGTGAATAGGTTGGATTATTGTTGTGATTTTTGTTAGAAAAAAGAATTTTGCTTGCGTACCCCAATTTGTATCCCAACTTGTACATTATCTGTGTACACAGACATTTGGACAGAAAGTCCCGTCCTCTTTCAAACGAATTCCTGTGTACATTGGCAATTCAGACGGTGGATACAAAATGGGGTACATTTTGGGATACCTATAGAATTTTTGTAAAAAAAAGTAGAATGAGTTCAGAACGAAAGAAAAATACTCATTCCCTTGTTTATTAAACCATTTGGAGTGGTGTGAGGGTCTAAATGTCACAAATAGACTCTGTCCATATTAAAACAATGTTTTGATTCATATTTCTCTTCATTCTAGGTTTTCAACACCGTCAATAAAATACAATCTGCACATTCTTTTTACATATCAATTTAGTAAAACATTAATTAAATTATTAACACAAATATTTTCCTTTTAAATATTTTTTCTAATCAATTATAAAATAAAAAATCAATATAAAAAATAATTTCATTAATATTTTTTTACGTTTTTCGATGAAGTGAGTGCAAACATATTGGAGCATTTATATAGGATTTTCGGACAAAATATCATTGAATTTCCATTTTAGCCGTTGGATCAATTTTCCCCCAGTTCAAACGGTGTCCAAAACTCTAAATCATCACAACCATTAGATCCTATGTTGCACCGATACTTCACCTCGATGCCGTATCCGCGTATCCGATATGTATCCGTATCCGATACTCACCGATACGCGTCCTGTACGTATTGGGTCTGTATCCGTAATTTAATAAAAGTATCGGGCTTAATTTTAAAAATACTGATACTTCTGATACCCGTATCCGTGAACCGATACGTGTATCTAACCCTATAAACTCTCATTTGATACACGACATGACGAAAATTTAGTAGCCGCCTAAGTGACCACAACATGTGGAACATTGATAAAGATGGTTTCAGGAGTATGGAAAATAATGGAATACTATAATTTGTCATTTCATTGTTTGATGAGCTTTAATTGAAACAAGACATAGATGTAAACGCAAATAGGGAACAAAAAATGTTATTTGAATTTAAATCAAAATATTAGTACTTTTGTTTTTTAGTTTTTTAGACTAATCTTTGAAATTTTATTATAATAGTTAATTTTTTGTAGTATTATTATTTTATTTATGAACCACTGAATTATACTCCCTCCGGTTCTAAATAAACTTCACACTTTCCTTTTTGGGACGGTTCAAAATAAACTTCATACTTCCTTATTTCCTTATTTGGCAAAGAAATATACATCAAAACAGTGTTAAACAGTGCTAAACAGTGCCAAACAGTGTCTCAACAGTGACAAACAGTGTCTCAACAGTGTACTCTACAGTAAAGTCAACTTTATTTGCTTAATAACTGTGAAGTCAAACACTGAAGTTTAAAAAGAATCGGAGGGAGTATATATTTGCAAATTATACCCTATATTTTTATTATTTATAAATATACCCCCGTACCTGTATCCTATATTTTTTGAAATTTCCGTATCGTCGTACCCATATTCGCGTATCCGCATATCGGTGTATCCGTATCCGTGCAACATAGGTTAGATCTACCAATTTTTTTTTAAAAAAAGGGAAAAGGTGCAAATAGGCCCTTGTACTAACCAAAAAAGGTCAAATAAGTCCTTATTTAGGAAGTTCTGTCCGGCCGTCGTCATTTGAGGTAGTTCCCGGTGGAATTTTTTGATGAAATTTTTTAAGCATCTTATTCATTAAGTCTAGTTTACTCATACCAAATTTCAGCTAAAACTTCAATCGGGAAGGCATTCAAATGAATTCTTGAAGATAACTGCGCTTCTAACTGCGCAGTTATTTTCAAGAATTCATTTGAATGCCTTCCCGATTGAAGCTTTAGCTGAAATTTGGTATGAGTAAACTAGACTTAATGAATAAGATGATCAAAAAACTTCATCAAAAAATTCCACCGGGAACCACTCCAAATGGCGACGGCCGGACAGAGACTTCTAAATAAGGGCTTATTTGACCTTTTTTGGTTAGTACATGAACCTATTTGCACCTTTTCCCTAAAAAAAATAAACAAGCATGTGTGACACCAACACGACATCAGCATGCCATCAGCTTAGGGAAATGATTCCTTCGCACCAAAGGCCACCTGGCCTCTTTCCCTCTGCGCACAGTAGGCTGACCGCTCCACTCCCCTTTTTTTCTGTTCCATTTACTTTTTGACTATCCAAACTCTTTCAAATTTAATTGCATCTCTCCTCAAACGCATTTTTAATATCCTCTTCAATAATGTCATTTTTAGCATTTTGGACTTTTAATATCTCACCACTCCAAATGATCTTACTACATCCGTCCCCTAAGTTTGGGACAAAGTAATGTGGTACAACTTTTAGGAAAAAGTGGAATTGTGTGGTTGATATTGAATTGATAAAATGTGAATAAAGTAAGAATGAATTGTAATCACTCAAATATTACCAAATATGATATGACACAAACTTAATAGAACGGACAAAAAAGTAAAAATGGGACAAAGTTAGGGGGCGGAGGGAGTACTCCATATGTTCAATCCGAACTTCACTGATTCATCATGGACCCCACACACTACTGCTACCTTCTTGTCGCCCTCTTCTCAGACGGACTAGGCTTTTCTGCCTTAAGGCAGAGTGCCTTACATCAATTGAGGGCTGTGATTTGATCAAAAGTATTCGGATTTGTGAATAAAACGGATCCCTTCGTCTTCTACCCTTAACTTTTCGACCTCGGGGTTGAAATAGGTCAGGCACTCTCCTTACTGTCAAAGCAAGGCAGAGACCCTTGATCTTGTAGACACAGAACAAAACCTGTTATTTCCCGTTGTGCCCTTTCTCCACGTGGGGCTATGACACCGCCCCTGTATTTATTGGTCCTGCACATCGGCCTGTATGCTCCAATTATAATCCGACACGTTAAGCTCCGTAACCCGATAGACCCACCACTAATGCATTCCTGCTCCTTTTTTGTCTGTGCGCTCCTATTCATCTTTCATTCTTTTTCCTCGGGACAACCACCTTCCCCTTTTTAACTTAACTTTCACAATGATATTCTCAGAAACATGTTCCGTAACCGGTATTGACATAGGGAGTATAAAATACGGTACTTACTATGTCACGCCCCGGACCTGTCCAGACACGTCAACAATCCATCGTATAATATGAATAGTCAACCAAAGTCAAAACACATCCGTATTATACAAAGCGTCTCAAAAATCATTTACACATAAGTCATCCATAAACATACATAATAAGCAATTCAATACGCAGCGGAAAACATAGTTTGAAATCTAATGTCACACGGGGCAAACATGAGCACGCAGGCTCTAAAGTAAAATATCCATGAACAAATTTATTAATGTTTCAAACATAATGGAGGAAGCACGAACCAAGTCTTCCCTTTGGAAAATCATTCGATCAACGAGCACAAGATGCAAGCTCTAGCCTCAACCTGAAATGGTGGTGGGACGCCCCCGAAGGGGTCAGTACTCTATAGGGCTATAAAGTACTAGTGTGGATGACGTCTAATAGATATACAACAAGTATTTCAAACACAAGACCCTCAAATAAGGTGATAGTACAATATGGTTATAACCCTAAGTTACCTCATTTGAAAATATACTTACTTTATATAAAAGTCAAGTAGTCGGCCTGTGGGCCAATGTTCATTTAGAAATCACCATTTGCATTCCCCTTGACTATAAGCCACGACAACTCATAGAGTCCAACCCCGATACATGACATTGTATTCTAGAGCTCGGCTCTATCACATCACCATACAATTCATGTCACTTTGGTCAATTTCCTTACCTTGCGTTCTAGAGCTTGACTCTATTACATCAGCATACAAGACTTAGAGCTCGGCTCTAGTTATACATTACATATACTACAAGTCTACCACCTTACCATGCATCCTAGAGCTTGGCTCTATTACATCACCATGCACTAAAACCTAATTCCTAAGCAAACCTATGCCTGGAATTGACATATCAATAAACTACTTTGGGTCATCCTTAAAGACTGCCCATAACTTAACCTTAGCTTCATACTAAGTCATTATATACACTTGAAGTATATTCAGGTGCATTGCATACAATCCAATCCTTAGGATCAATTTTATCAACAATTTCCAATAATCACTAACTAGTATTTCAATACTATTAAGATTATTGTTATCATACAAATATTCTCATTTTGTAATTCTCTACATATTTATACGTATGTAGCAGCAACTTAAGTATTCAATCTCAATACATAAATATTCATTTATGTATCCACAAAATTCATACATGAGTAAAATGCCTATTTCACAAAATAGTTCATTTATAACTCATTTAATCTCATATTATCCATACAACCTCAATCATTTCAAATTTCATTCTTTGGCAACTATATCAATATTTCATCAATATTTAATCATCATAATCCATGAAAAATAATGATTTAGAAATTTAGGTAATCTCATGCTTAACCTACAAGTTGTAAGCAATTAGATGTCGATCCTCACCTTAATTGAGCTTTTAACTTTTCCTTCTTGATCCAATGATCAAAGCCTCGGCCAAGGAAGCTTGAGAACTAATTCCTTGCTTAGAAATGAGTGTTAAAAAGCCTCTTCAGCCCTCAACCTCTAACCAATGGTCCAAAAACAACCCCTAGAATGGATGTTTTCCGGTGAATATGTTTCCTAACC